ATAAATATAACTGATTTTTAAAAATATTAAATAAAATATAATTAGTAATAATGAAATGAATTCTATAACTAATGTTTATACATGTAAAACATTAATTAACCATTAGAATATATATATATATATATATATATATGTATGATGTATATACATAAAAGTACTCATTATAAGAATATACAGATTCCCATTTTAATGTCCCACCCCAAATAACTTTTCTTATTTTTAATTTAGAAAAAAGATGTTTCAGGACAAAAGTTGTAGGTTTCGAGGGGACATAAGATGGTACCATTAATTTGATCTGAAGAGTCACATGAAGGTTACGTGAAGATCATTTTCAATTCTTAAATGGAACACCCTATATATTTTTGCATATTTCTTGTAGCTTATCTCGAGAGCTTTCCAAAACACTATAAATAAACATTTTTTCATCAAGTACGTTTCGAGTAATGAGGCTTGAAATCAGTTTCTTAATTTTACATAAACCATAAAATTCTTGTAAAATATTCATTTTTGATTATCTTACCTTAATACTTTATGTACAAAATTAATGAGAGAAATCAATTGGGTAAAGAAAACATACAGTTGTTTTTAAGAAAAAATATGGAATTGTAATTGCAAATTACATTATTTTTTTCTTAAAACAACTGTATGTTTTCTGCTGACCAATGGATTCTCTCATTATTTTGTACATAAAAAGTATTAAGATCAAAAAATGAATATTTTATAAGATATTTTATGGTTTATGTAAAATTAAGAAATGATTTCAAGCCTCATTACTCGAAACGTACTTGATGAAAAAATGTTTATTTATAGTGTTTTGGAAAGCTCTCGAGATAAGCTACAAGAATATGCAAAAATATATAGGGTGTTCCATTTAAGAAATTGAAAATGATCTTCACGTAACCTTCATGTGACTCTTCAAGATCAAATTAATGGTACCAATCTTATGTCCCCCTCGAAACCATACAACTTTTGTCTGAAACATCTTTTTCTAAAATTAAAAATAAGAAAGTTATTGGGGTGGGGCATTAAAATGGGACACCCTGTATAGAACATTTAAAATAAAAAAAAATGATTCGTAAGTAAGAGTTTAAAGTAATTTTGTATAAAAAACACATTTATATGATTACGTTTAAATATAATTTTGCAATATATTATCTAGATATGATTATCTTAGTTATTGCAAACTCTATTTATATCAAGCTTTTAATTAATTATGTTTTCAAGATATTTATCCATTAAAAACAAAAATATTTTATACGTAATATTATTAAATGATTGTAATAACATTGCATTCTTTTCAATATATGAAACTGTAATATTGCTACAATGTTTCATTCCAAAAAGCGGACATCTCAACTTTATCACATCTTATAACAATGACTCAGCAAAATTTTGCAATCAATTTACAATTTTCAATGAAATTATTCTTCAATATTCTGCAATCTTATTATGCTGTATGGGTATTTTCATTTGCTTACCACTTGTTGAAAAAATAAATCTTTCATCAGCCGGCCATGTAAAAGTTTCCTCATATTCGAGGTATCTCAATATCAAGCGAAACTGATATGAAGTACCCGATTGTAAATTTTCGATATGGTATATTACTTCTTCGTTATAATTCATTCTGATATCATTCGTTGTTTGCCACTCTTCTGTTGAAACGTTTTTGTACTCTAGTGCAGAAGAGATCGTCAGATTGATGTTTGAGATCCATGAAATGTTCATGCTATTTGTGTTAACCTCGCTCAAAGTAATATTGTTTAGTTTTGAGTATATGTGATCGATCTTGCTTAAACTCTCCTTGTAGAAATCGCTGAAATTACTTGGATACACACGCATGTATATCAAGTCATCTTGTACTGGTAGCGACAAGTTAATCTTTGTGAAAAAATCTGCCGTCTGCCACACGTTTCGGCATATTGATAATTTGTTTATTCTCTTGTTGCTTGTCGTTCACTAACTTCCAATGCACTTCATAGGTCACAACCTCGCAGTTCAATTTCTTGGGTGGCATCCAATAAACTACTGCTATAGTAGGCGTCAAAGCTAAAACACTTATGTTTTCTGGTACATTAAGCTCGCACAAATTAGTTTTTATTCGTATCACGTTCGAATCGAATGGATTTATTGATAATTGATCGAAGTAAAAAATTGCTTAAAGTAAACTTCAACTTGTACTCTGTAAATGATGTTAAGTTCTGAATCTCGTAATATCGCTCGCCTGTCAGCACAATGAATTTTTCAGACTTGTTGAGATTGTTGTCTAAACAGCTTACGGAGATAGTATATATAGTAGTTGGTAAATTATATTTTTTGCATCCACTCTTACAACCGGCTCCGGTAAATTTACAATGATGCTGTTTGCCGTTGCAGTCGCATTCTCAAAATTATAAACTTTTTCGCCAGGTGTCAGACATCTCATTGGGGGATATGGTTGTGAAGATTATCAAAAGCGTAAATTTTATAAATCACATTTTTATCTAAGCTTATTGGTGTCTCTTTAACATATTTGTATGCATTTGAGACGCTCTTGAGACTTGCATATTTCTTTTTCAAAACGTAGAGTGTATATACAGACTGAGAATTATATGCTAAAATGTAAATGTTTGTTTTGTCAAGCGTCATAGATTGGAATTTAATGTCATCACTTATGTCTTTGCTGTTTAAAGCGTTGGACTTAGAAATATTAATGTCTGTTACAATTGTACTCCGATCATTTAACCAGTAATATAACGACTCTTCATTATTCGTGTTATCAATTATCGTATTAAAAAGGCTTTTTATAATTAAATATGGGTGTACTAAAGTGAGTATCCACCCCAATAATTTGATCGTTTTGTCCATCGAAATGATATTTTATCATATTATATTTTTCAATCGTCCAATTGTATGATATGCGATATAAGATTCTAAAAATATATAATTATTTTATTCATTATAAAACATTATTTTAACAAAAACAGAAACTTATATGTAGTAAAAATTCGAAATTCTTATAATTATATAATAACTTATTATGTCTTTTTACTTATGATCTTAATTATAAAACTACGTAAATACGTATTATATAAAATTACAAATTTGCATAAATCTTTAATGGAAAATTATTTTTTTAGGCGAACGTTAGTAAACGGTAGTAAACGTACCCCATAAACGGTGATATACTTAAAAAGCCAATATCATTTTCTGATTTGAAAATCTCAGAAAATTTAATTATGCCATTTTCCCACATTGTTAAGTCGAATTTTACAATGTAAGAATAATCTGGCTCTTGATAGGTCAAATATAGATTTCTTGCTACCCAGTCAATGCAGAAATCATGTAGATCATGATCAAAGCTACCTATTTTTGTGATATTATTTTCATTAATTTTTAATGTCATTAGGTCTCTTCGGGTTATCCAATAAATTCTATATTCTTGTATCGAATAAGCGACATCTATTAATTCTGATCTAAAAAAAGGAGCCAACTATAATAGTATATTTAAAAAATATAGTTGAGATTCTAATTTTATCATTATTACTACTATAATGTTGATAATAAACTTGTTCGTAGTAATAATAACTTTAACTTTATAATGTCAAAAATAATTTCATAATTCTAACTATTTTTTTTATCAGTATACGTACTGTGACGATATTTCAAAATTAGTAATGATGTTTAAATCCGCATCCCATAGTTGGATATCTTCATTCGTTGTGAGTAATAATTTAGGTATTGGATTTTCATGTGTAGTCGATACATTGATTAAATCCGTGTAAGGTCCAGCAACAATTTTAGTATGCGCACGTACTCGAAAATAATATGTCGTGTTAAATGTTAGATTGTGCACCGTGTGCTCCAATTCTGTAGTTGTGATATTTTTATCGTCGCAGATTTGAATCTTTTTGAGTCCTTGATAAAAAACATTGCACCGTGAATCCTTGTATTACTTTATCGGTAAATTCAGATTGGTTCCATCTGTAAAACAAATAAAATTTTAGTCATTATATATTTAACAAAATTATAACAGAATTAACATTTTGATATGTTGCTGAATTTAAGAAAAAGAGAGAAAAATGAAAGAATACAAACTGAAAATTTAGATTCTTTACCTCAATGTCACAAAAATGTCGTTTACTTTTTCTGTGAATTGACTGTCGAATTGTACAAATGCTCTGAGAGATGTTGGCTTACTCAAATTGCTTTCTACAAATTTTAAGATCGTACATGTTAACATAATTATATGTAAGATTAAATGGATTATCTCAGTAAATCAGAAAGAACAATTTAATATGAAAATACCCTGGTAGAAATTGCCTTGCCGGCGCCATAACACTTGTCAGCGCAATGTAAGTTTGCCACGTCACAGCCTTATTTTCAAAAACTGAAAATGTCCACACTAAAACCATGATCGCGGCCGATATATAAATGGCGTAATATTATTATAAAATTAAACAGGCGCAGATTTAAATTTGACTGGGCTTCTGATGCGGTCAATACTTGCGCCACGTCAGATGCTCAGACATCTTTTCGCCTTGTCAAAAAAGATAATATTAAAAGAACATAATATATCAATTTAATTTAGTTTAATTTCTGACAAACTGAATTAAAAAAAAAATTTAATAATGTGGATTTTTTGTGGGATTCCAAATTTTTTCCTTGTTGGATTTCAGAATTTTTTTTCCAGTTTTAGTAATATTTTTAGGTGACATGGTGCTGTGTGGGAAGTTTTTTATCAATAGTCAAATAGTAGTATTTTTTCGTAAAACAATATTATGCTATACTACAGTAATTACGCATCTGCTCTATGACAATACTAGGACTATGTTAATGACATGTTAGTACAACACAAAATTCAATTCAACGTGGCGCCAGCGGGCAAAACGTGACGATTTCAAGGATGGCTCTTACCAGCGTGTTATGCCAGCTCCTTAAGTGGCAGTGTGGCACGTTGGCCACAAAGGAAAGAGAAAAAATAAATAAAAAAGCAAACTACAAAATGTGTAAATTAACACAATATTAACCTTTAAAAAATAATATAAGAATTTTTTGCGTCATTTAAGATTTGGAAAAGTAATCGTTAATTTCCGGCAAAAACGAATAAATAACTTTCAATAAAATAAGAAGTATTTTTCGAAAAATTCCTGTAACTTAAGAAATCAAAAGTATAATATTTGCAATTTCTTTAAAACCAAGTAGCAAATTAATAAAATTGACTTTATCTTTAATCATGACAATTTTTATGTATAATGTTACGTTTGTATTATGTCTTTTTATTTCTTTTTTGGACAAAATAGAATTTATATTTTTTTCACTGCTGGAAGATGTTTTTAGATTTGATTTTCACTCTTTCTTAAATTTAAATTGTATTTACACTTTTTTGTCATAGATTATGTTATTAATGTTTGATGCATTTTTTTGTAACTTACCGATAGATTCTGGGATGATAGAAATATTTGCAAGTGTAACTTCATCGACTTCTCGCTCATTTCTCACAGTACTATCAGAATGACTCCGGTCAGATTTGAAATTTAGTATATGATGATTATTTTTCTCGGACATTGAAATATTCTTCATGAAGTGTAACATACGAAAAGAATTATAAAATGAATATCGTTGAAGCGGTTGTTTCTGGTGCTTTTAATGATAAATTATATAAATTATAAAATTAAACGAAAAATTACCATTCGTTTTTTATTGGCTTAATAATGCCGGTTTGATATAAATCATTTCTAAATGATATATATATATTAAATGCGATATAGTTTTATTTATATTATAAACTCTATTTTTTATTTTTTTTTAAGACATCTTGTTTATCAAACGTAACAATCAATATATAAAAAAAAATCAATCAATATAGGTTAACAAGAGTCAATGAGGATTCATAACAGCTTTTAGCAAGTAGTAGAAGCGAAAGTGTAATTCTTTGCAATTATTCAAACAATTTTGTCTAACGATTTGATTCTTTCTTATGATAGGTTAGTTAACTTTTCTTAATTTTACCATAACTTAAATTTTTTTTCAAAAATTTGCCATTATTACTAAAGTTCTATTAATGTTTGTACTTCAAGCATAAAAAGGTTAAAAATAGTGTTTCCTTACAGTTATTAAATATTAGTCATAGAAATTATATATATTCTTTTATTTATATCCTTGTCAAGATTTTTCTCGAGTGTCGTTAGATTTTTATACAATCAAATCCTGAAAATGATAATATAAACCGATAGTATAAACCGATAATGCCTCGATAAGAATATGTGCATGTAATTGTATATGAATGAATATATGTACAATGAAAATTAATATAAATTCTAGCAATTGTTACCGAATGTATCGTTGATCGAAATATTAACGTTAATAGATACAATTTGAAGAATGTTTGATGAACGAATTTTTTATTAGACAGATTTTCTATCTCGATATTTAGCTCTGTTTCGTTATATAATTACCTTTAACACAAAGAAGTCATGCTAACTTTTTAAATTAATTTTTTAAAATAAAATCTACTTAAATCTTACTATATATCAATAAATATTATAAATATTATAAATATCTACAAAGATAAAGAAATTTTAGAAACTGAATAAAAATAATAACATAAAAATCTATTGAAGTGTCATCGTATGTATATATTAATGTAGCGGATAGTAGACAGAAAACTTCATTAAATTTAAAAATTGTTATTTTTGGAAATAATTATTATATATATAATTATATATATATATATATATATATATATATATATATATATATATAGAGAGAGAGAGAGAGAGAGAGAGAGAGAGGGAAAGAGAAAGAGAGAAAATACATAGTCAAATTTTAAAATATCGTTTTAATTAAATTTAATAACTATATAACATTCATTTGTAAACAAAATTTCGAAACTTTATCCATCTGTTTTTACAACATCATATATATTTTTTACTTTTATATTGAATTGTTTTATTTTATCGTATCTTATTATATAGAATATAATTATATAAGATAGAATATATAATTTATTCATTCATTTTTAGTCACATTACCAGCTAAAATAACATTCAATTGTTTTTTAATCAAGCGAAAAATATCTCCTACCTGCGTGAAATTTATATCCGGATACATGGAAATACGTTCTTCTTGAAGGATGTTTGAAGTGTTATCATCCTTCGACGTGATAGTTGCCTTTGTCAATATTAAACCTTTCAATAAAACACATAAAATTGTTCCAAACATAATTTGCATTTTTGGTAAATGTATGCACTCAATCAGTTTCCGTTCAACCCTCAATTAATTTTTTTTTTCACTCTACTAATTTTTATGTGTAAATCGAATTGATATTAATTCACATAGACACATATATTTTCGATAAATTCTTTAAAAGTCTGTTTTAACGAACTGCAAGTTATTATCTTCTAATATTATGTTTTTAGATTTCTCTTTATGATCACGATCACAGTATATATCTTAAGATTAAATTAGAGAATTCTTAGTAAGTAAATAATTTCTATGGTACATATTCATTGGATTGTATCGCGAATACAGGAATATAATTATTATTAGCTTTCTTTTTTCATTAGAATAACAGTCAATAAAAAGCTTCCTTTTTTCAATAGAAAAGCAGTCAATAAAAAGATAACCACACTCAAATTACAAACGATCTAAGAAGTTATAGAATTATAGATCTTGTAACATTTTCAGCCATATTCAAGCACATGCAGCGTATAATCGAATTCACTTTAATATTTGCTATATCTGTTATTAAATATTAACAATTCGTACGATTGTGTTACTACGTGCTATGTTTTTCCACTATTCATACACAATTACACGGTTTCTCTAAACTTCATATAATGCTGTTTGAATCAAGCGATAAATAACCATGGTAGCGTTTGGCTAGCGATCACAGTAGTAACTGACTTCGAATGGTCAATCCGATCCTACCATGACATTTTATTAACTCCATTCCGTTTGTATTTTATTTTTTCCGCGAAGATACTCGTCATTTCAAAAGAAATTTAAATCCTTAAGAATTGTTTGTCAAAAAATTTATATATATAAGACAAAGTTTTATATATATATATATATATATATATATATATATAACAAAAATAATTCTATATATAATTATTATATAAAAAAATATTCTGATTATAAGAAAAGTAATCATGTGGACTTAAAAAAGTGATTCACGTTTTCTGTTCACATAATGAATTTTGAATCAAGCGATACGTAACACAGCAGCGTTTTTAGACAAATATAAATAAATATACAATAAATATACAATAGCAAATTGTATAAATAACAAAAATAAATAAAATAATTAATTCTACGAGCTTTATTATTATCGTTATTTGTACTAAATAATTTTATATAATAACTTATATAACTTTATAATTAATGTAATATATTATATAATATATATTATATATTATATATTATATAACTTTATAATATTATAATATATTATAACAACTTATAGTATTAATTACTTTATTATTTAAATTATACTACTGTAATTTTGTATGTGACAACCTTTATAACTATTTTATATATATTGTATAATATGCAGTAGTGTGCATAAAATTAAATTTTCTCTTTTTCTCGCTATAAATCAATTGCTTTATTTCCAAAAAATTGGGATAAACACGTAAATCACATTTTGTTAAACAATATTGAAAATAATTATGTGATATTAACCAGTCTCATGGTGCGAAACGCCTTGTATATTGTAATAGAATAATAGGACCGGTTCTAACAGTCTCAGGGGGGTGGGGTGAGGCGCGAGGGGGATTACGGTGGCGCGGGGGAATGATGTCACGCGGGACGGAGGGGATTTCCCAGAAGGCGGTTATATTACATGCCCGGTTGATAAACAGTATTGCGTACGATCATGTTCGATT